CCCCAGGGTGGCTGTGGCTACAATGTAGCTTGCCATCACCAGTGTGTGTGTGAATGGGTGAATGACTGGATGTATAAAGCGCTTTGGGGTCCGTAGACCATTTACCATTTGATGTAATGTTCTGTACTGAAAGAGGATGGCGCAAAACATGTTTTAAAGCCTTTAAGCACTTATTTTTTAAATCCAGTTACATCTGTGTCAGTTTTTGAGGGCAGGGCTCCATGGTGTAGCCTTTAAACGTTTCAACACCCTGATTTTGATTCAAAAAATAAGTAAGGCTGGAATAAAACTTTAAAATATCATCAAATCTTTGTCTGCAGGTGAGCTGCCCCTGTCTCTGGCAGCCTGCACCAACCAGCCCGATGTGGTAGACTTCTTAATGGACAATGAATACCAGCGAGCAGATCCTAAGATGGTAGATTCTCAAGGCAACACGGTCCTGCATGCCCTTGTGATGGTGGCTGACAACTCCAAGTGCAACACAGAATTCATAGTCAGCATGTACGACCGTATCCTAAAGATCACAGCGAGACTGTATCCCAAGGTGCAGCTGGAAAACATTGAGAACAAGAAGGGCCTGACACCTCTCAAAATGGCTGCCCGCACTGGCAAGACTGAGGTAAAACACTGCAGGTTGACATTAAGAGTACTACCAAGTGAGAAAAGCAACAGTGAGAATGAAGTGCAGAGCCATAAGAGTAGTATGGCCCTCCTTTACTACTGACAGGGCAGAAACTATAAGTTTTGGTGAGATCTGCGGGTTTCTGGGCTTTCAGAAATAGATCAGACCTTCACAGACTTTCTTTGTTCTAGCTTTCCTTTTTATTTGTCTACAGCTGTTCTCACACATCTTAAGACGAGAGTTCCAAGAGCCTGGAACCAAACACTTGTCCCGTAAATTCACCGAGTGGGTTTATGGGCCTGTCCACTGCTCCCTGTACGACCTGGCCTCCGTGGACTCATATGAGGAGAACTCAGTGCTGAAGATACTGATCTACGGCAGCGACATCCCTGTGAGTCCCAGCATTGTGACACCAGTCAGAGCAGAAGTTGCATGCTGTTCGGTTCTCAAATGTGCATCCCTTCCTTTCTCCTCTTAGAACCGTCACGAGATGCTCGAGACGGAGCCTCTGATCCAACTGCTTGAAGAAAAGTGGAATAGGTTTGCCAGTGGAATGTTTTTCTTCAACTTCCTGTCCTACCTTGTGTACTTGATCATCTTTACTCTCCTAGCCTACTATAAGAAAGAAAGAATGGTAAGCTGACTGACACAAAAGAGGTGAGCTGTGCAAGCATCACAGACAGGCCTGTGTTAATGTGGATGATGTTCTCTCTGTGCCCCACAGCCATTACTTCACATTAACCTCAAGACCGATGATTACCTGTACATTTTAGCTTGGCTGGTGACAGCAGTTGCGAACTGCTACTTCTTTTTCATAGGGGTATGTAGTTAACTTTGTGTTTGTGTACATCTACTTTCTTATATCACCACCTAGTGGAAGTTGTAGTCCAGTAACATGACTGATTACCTCATCTGAATCCCTAGATTATAGATATGATGAGGAAACGACCAAAGCTGGAGACCCTGCTGGTTGACGGATATTATGAGATTCTTTTGTAAGTAGCAGGCACACTCAAAATTAAAGCTACCTTGTGGAGTTTTCTCACCTCTTTATAATCCCGTATTATTCCTGATACAGAGTCGCAACTTGCATTCGTGCAGCAATCAGCTGAAGCCCCTTTACTACTAACATTTCCTTTTAATAGTTTCAATTGAATGCAGCAGTTGTTGTGATTTAATGATGTCAAAAGTTTGGACACACCTTCTCATTTAATGTGTTTTTCTATTTACATTGTAGATTCTTACTGAAGGCATCAAAACTGTGAATGAACACATATGGAATTATGTAGTAAACAAAAAAGTGTGAAATACCTCAAAACATATTTTATATTTTAGATTCTTCAAAATAGCCACCCTTTGCTTTGATTACTGCTTTGCACACTCTTGGCATTCTCTCGATGAGCTTCATGAGGTAGTCACCTGAAATGGTTTTCAAACAGTCTTGAAGGAGTTCCCAGAGATGCTGAGCACTTGTTGGGCCTTTTGCCTTCACTCTGCGGTCAAATCTCATCCCAAACCATCTCAATTTGGTTTAGGTTAGGTGACTGTGGAAGCCAGGCAATCTGGTGCAGCACTCCATCACTCTCCTTCTTGGTCAAATAGGCCTTACACAGCCTGGAGGTGTGTTTGGGGTCATTGTCCTATTGATAAATAAATGATGCTCCAGCTACACACAAACCCGGATGGGATGGCATGTTGCTGCAGGATGCTGTGGAAGCACTCCGACACCAAAACACCTGCTCCTCCATGCTTCACAGTGGGAACCATGTATGTAGAGACCATCCGTTCACCTTTTCTGCGTCGCACAAAGACACGACGGGTGGAACCAAAGATCTCTAATTTGGACTCATCAGACCAAAGCACAGATTTCCAACGGTCTAATGTCCATTCTTTGTGTTTCTTGGTTTAAACAAATCTCTTCTGCTTGTTGCTTTTCCTTAGTAGGCGTTTCTTAGCAGCTATTTGACCTCTAATCTGCTCTAATCGGAGATACTGTTAACTTGCGATTTCTGAGGCTGGTGATTTGGATGAATTTATCCTCAGCAGCAGAGGTGACTCTTGGTCTTCCTTTCCTGGGGTGGTCCTCATGTGAGCCAGTTTCGTCATAGCACTTGATGGTTTTTGCGACTGCACTTGGGGACACAAAGTTTTTGTAATTTTCCAGAATGATTGAAAGTTTGCAGTGGTGTCACCAAAGCAAAGGTGGCTACTTTGGGGGATCTAAAAGATAAGACATATTTAGAGTTATTCATCAATTTTTTCTTTGCTACATAATTTCATACATCTTACTTCATAGAGTTGATGTATTCAGTTTGTATCCACAATGTAGAAAGTCGTAAAAATAAATAAAAAGCATGTTTGTGTCCAAACATTGGTAAGTTGGTTATATACTTTCTATAGGTATTGTACTTCTTTTGGGAAAAAATAGGTTTTTCTACATCACTTTGCAAATAAATGGTTTGTGGAAGATGTACAGCACAGTAAAACTCCTCAGCGTTCATGTTAATAGTTATTACAGTGCTGCCGCTGATAGTCTTTTGCAGGGTGTCCTCTTCCTGATCTCCACTGGGCTCCACCTGTTTGGGAGGGATAAGTACCTCAGCTTCCTGGTGTTGTGTCTTGCTCTCAGCTGGGTGAACATACTCTACTTCTCCAGGGGCAACGAGCACATGGGCATCTATAGTGTCATGATACAAAAGGTAGCCCTTGCATGTCACGCAGTTCCACAGAGAAGATAAATTAGATAGCAACTGATCCCATCACTGAGGCTCTCTGTCTCCTTGTTTGCAGATGATCCTCAGTGACATCCTGCGCTTCCTGTTTGTCTACATCGTCTTTCTCTTTGGATTTTCAGCAGGTATTATACCCTCTCTAAAAAGGAGAAAGGTTTGCACAAAAACATCTGCATTTTTTGATTCCATTTAAAAGGTTTTTCATACAGAATCTGTAGCTTGTGTACCCTGATCAGACCTGCTTAACCTGCTGTAACCTGCTTCCTATCACAGCGGTGGTCACCCTCCTCAAAGAGCCTACAGCGGACAAGTCTCCTGATAAAGAGCTGAATACAACAAACACCACTAAATCACCTCGTTTTGTCCTTGTTGGTCTTGAGGAGGATTGTGTCAAACCCAGCTTCTCAAACATCTCCTACACTACCCTGCAGCTCTTCAAGTTCACCATTGGCATGGGCGACATGGAGTTCATCCAGGATTACAAGTACATAGACGTCTTCTACGTGCTCCTCATCTTCTATATCATACTTACCTACATCCTGCTGCTCAACATGCTCATCGCGCTCATGAACCGCACTGTGGAGAAGCTCACCAATGAGACCACCAGCATCTGGAAGCTACAGGTCAGTGTGTTCAGAGCTGATGTGAGTATATAAGTGAAGTATGCGTGATTTAAATGATGTGACTGCTTTCAGAGGGCTATCACTATCCTGGACATGGAGAGGAGACTGCCCTGTTGCCTGAGGGGTTATTTTCGCTGTGGGGTGGAGAAAAATCTCAACACTGCTACTGGAAAGGACTGCCGGCGGTGTTTCAGGTTGGCTTCTATTCAGTTCAGTGACAGCACAGTGGTTAGTCACACATTTTCAAAGGGCTGCAAATACCCTGGACATTCTAGCTCCAACATGTGGTTGACATTTGTGGTTCAGCATCTTCATAGCTTCTTTTTTTTTTAATGAAATTTAAGCTTTTAACCAATACCATCTAATGTTTCTGTCAGTTTTGTTGACAAAGACAACATGTTAGCAAGCAGACATTAATAGATACCACAAAGATCAACATGAAGCTTCTGCCTTCTTGAAGGCTACGCCCTTACCTTAACCACTACTGGAGATAGAGGCCTCATTTTTTCCAATGACATATTGGCATAGAGCAGGGTTGAAAATCTGTTGATTGAAGTCCCAGCTTCCTGAAGGCTGCAGCTCTTGCACATTCCTAGTTTAAACATGGCAAAAAGTTTCAAATAAAGAAAGATTTATAGTTTATGGTTATATTTATTTATTTATTTTGGGGGGGGGGAGAGGAGACACACACTTATGTAGATATCAAAAACTCACGTGTCAAGTATGATACATTTGGTGTTACAGGGTTAATAAGGCCGTCTCAGGCACATCAGTGAGCCCAGCGGCCACACCCATCTGCTGTTAAAGGCTTTCTTTTATTAGGAGCATCAGTCCAGAAGAAATCTGCTTAAAGCGAATGGCTCGTTTGAGACAGATGAACTGAGGCGCTGCACCACCATAAGATAAATAAGGATTATTTTTTGAGTCATGCAAAGTTACTCTAATGAAGTCCAAGAGTGAAAATATAGAGCTGCAAACGATTATTTTACAGGAAGTTCCTTTAGTTTTCATCTAGCAGTATTACAAAATCAAATGCTTCATTCTGCATTTATGTTTCCTTAACGATGAGTTGCAACACCTCAGTAAATCATTAAAGATGTGGTTTGATAACCATTAGAGCAGTTTTGGGGTTTTTCCAAGAATAGCTGAACAGGCAGAGACCACCTTCACTAGCTTCTGATACACACACAGTCATTTTGTTCGATAAGGTGAAATATGACAGATACCACTCAGCTCAGAAAAGAGCTTCAGTGTTTTTTCCTGGTAGTTTTTTCAAGGGGTAACAAGTTATTTGTCAATTATTGTTGTTCCAATCAGCCTCATCTGCACTTTGCATTTATTGCACACCAACATACTAAACCAGCTGAACATGGATAATTTAGCACAAAGCACTATGATGCCAAATGCAGCCTCACAAGTTATGGAGGCCCTGTTGGGTCAAAGCTTTTTCTCTTAAAATGTAAAAAAAAACCAAAAAAAACCACTACAGTTTGGGTCTGCATTTCCTGTGTCATTCTTGCTTTTCCCCTGCTTTACAATTGTCCTTGTACAAGAAAGACTAAAAATGCCTGACATAAATAATGACTATAATCTAACTTAGTCTAACTTTGAATTATTTCAGCTGACATGATGTTCAAATGTTGCATTTACTTTACTAAATTTGTTAGTTTGATCACTACAAAGTGCATTAGCACTAGTTGGCTTCTGTGGCTGCAGAAAAACAAAATCTAGAGAAACTGGCTGTTAGTGAGCTGCGGCTTGAACTCGCTTGCAGATAAATCCAGACATGTATAAAGACAGGAGAAAAGAACACGTTTGGGTATTGAATACATAATTATTAGAGTTATTAGTCATAAATTTGACTACGTTTCAGTATTGGCTATATTATTTGTGTTCAGCTGTGCTAAATTGAACCTCTCCATGTGTGTCAGTCTTTGTGGGTTTGTAGCGGGTTTCCTGGTGACAGGAAGGATGATGTATGAGGTCTAATATTAGACTTATTATCTGACTTTATTGGCCAGGTTTTCATATTAAGATTCTTCATATCAAGGAGTATAAAATCCCTTGCATGAAACTGATCACCACTCTGCTGCTCACAATAAAGGCTGATAAAGGCCAACTTCATCAAGGCACAGTAACAAAGGAGAAACAAAGGTTTAGCATTGAAGAGTTCATCCAAGACGCGGCTGTGTGAGCACAATCGATTGATGCACAGTACACCGTGTTGTTCGCTAATTTTGTTGACAGCTGATTGATGTGTCACACGGCAGACAGTAATTGGAGCATGTGTCCTCTTGTCTCCTCAGAGTGGAGGAAGTCAACTGGAACAAATGGAACAGCAACCTGGTCAAAATCGATGAGGATCCCGGCTGTTGGGAGCGTGTCCAGCACCCAGGCACTGAAACCCCACCTAGGAGCCAACAAAGAGGTGCGGAAAGATGAATTCATGGATTTGTGTGAGGGAGGAAAGTAATTCGAGTCCACTAACATTTTCCTGCTTTACCCACAGGGAGGAGCTGGAGAGGCTTATTCATGGATGGCAGTAGGCGGTGGCAGGCGTACCAGTCCACAGAGATGACACCGGTCTAACAGAGAGCTGCTCTCTGGCTACTCAGCCTGACTGGCTGTTTTACTTGCCCAATAATTTTAACAGACATGGATAATCTACTTTACTGACTGACTGATTCCCCAGTGTAACCTTCCAAAGAAAACCTTGTGGACACTTTGGGTTTGACTGACAACAGTGTAAAACAGCAATATTTATCAGTATTGAACGCCAGGCAGTGTTGTGCAAATAGCAAAGAAATTTTAAAGCAGAACATTTAATCCAGCGGCTTCTTCTACATGCTGCTCCTGCACGTCAACTGGATGCACATCCTCTGCTCAAAGGCCATAACCCGCTGGCACCTCTGGTATGGCTCGAAAACCTTCGTGGAGTAATGCCACTCACCAAGGTGCTGATCCTTCCCTCCCACTGTGTGCCCTTTATACTAGGCCCATTTTCATCACAGCCAGACAAGCTAAATCTACTGCGACCAGATCAGTCCCACAGATTTCACAGCTTGCTTTGTCTACTCCACTTCCTGTTCCGGCCTGGATAAATGGCATGAAGCGGCAGCAATTGGTGTAGCAATCACCACCTTTGGCTCTACCTGTCACAGTTACAAATGTGGCTTAGACAAGCCTTTAGAAACACCGAGTCGCTTCTAGGGCTGATTATGAGAGAGACAAATGTGTGTGTGTGTGTGTGTGTAGCTACCTGAACTGTCACAGAGGATGACAAGAGCTAGGCTGCCTGCTGTTAATTTAGACAAATTAATGTTCAAGCGAACTGAGTTCAAAGCATAAATTAGAACTTTATTTTATTATTACAATATTACAAAAAGAGTAGCACAACTCTCACGCTCTTGCCTCTTATCTGTCGTACAGAATGACACAAAAGAAAGGTTCGTGGACCTTCTTCCATTTCACAGCAACAGTACAAGAAATAAAGAAAGAAAATAAATTTTTAAATAACAAGCAAATCAAGTATTATAAATAGTCACAACTGCAAACTGAAGCTTTGAAACTTTGTGGGGAGGGGAGGGAGAAGAAAAAAAAATTGTTACAGCTCAAAAAACTACACATTGCTAAAAATATATAATTACAAAATATTACTCATTTTCCTCACTTTACATAATAAAGAATATCTAAGGAATTGCTCTGCCTATTCAACAAAACTTCCATTAAAGTCAAAAGTCAAAAGAAAAAAAAAAAGAAAAGCAAAATAAAATTGCTGTTTCTGTGGATCCTTACCATTGCCTCTTCCTTCTTATTTGGGGTTTTCATTAAACCATGCTCATTTTCAAAGGAAAGTCCAAGGACCAAACACTTAAGGCTTTTTAAGGGTCATTAGGGGGTTAGGAGAACAAAACATGGGTGCCATTGCGTTATATCTCACGCACACACACTGTCTACTGCACACACACACTCACCCTTAACCGTTCCCACATCCACAGGCAGCATTCATACACAATCATTAAACTTTAAAGTTACAGTAGTCTAGTAGGTAAGCCAGTGTACAATAAAATAAACAATGCATTTGCTGTTTCACTTAAAAGTCGGGCTTCGTTTACCTCCGAGTGATCTTGCAAGTGATCAATTTGGTCTTTTCATTTCAGCATCAGCATCAGTAGCAACAACACGTAACTTAGTTCGCTGAGGTGCCCATTGTTGGGACCACAAATCTAGCTAGGCGTGTAGTGAGTTCCTACGGGGCATTGACGCGGATTTCATCTACTTCAGAGACTTTTGTCTGTGCCTTTCAATACCTTCAAAACAAATCATCTCAAACATTCAAGTAAACACATTTGTCATGGATACAAAGACGATCTGAAAAGGACACGAACTTTAAAAATGGCACCGCTTCCTAACAGTGTGTCCTTGTTAACCTGACTTTGGTCGCTTTTAAAAAGGTAGGAGTAAATTTTATCACAACCTTCCTTGTCATAAACATTTCACAATCTTGCTGCCAAGCGTGGCACTAACGCAGTCTGTTATGCCTTTATTTCTTTTTCTCTTTTTTCTTTCCCTTTTAAACACCTGAATTCATTGCAGCATGTGAAGCAGGACCAAGCATCAAAGTTTTTTCAACTTGTTTGTTCCCTCTTGGAACTTAAATATGTACAAACAACCTGATTACAGACTTCCTTAAGTGACGGAGAGGTATCAATCTTGAAGAATCCTATTATACAAATAATGACATTTAAAAAGAAGGAGAACCCCTTTGTGCATGTGTGCATACTGCAAGCTTTGCCCGAGGCCTATTCCAGAAAGCAGATTTAGCCAGACTTTGAGGTTTGTTAACTTTGACATGAGGAACTCTGGATCAGTCAATTGGCATAACAGACTCTGTGACTCTAACCTGCAGGTTCTTTTTAACCTCCTATTATCCAGCAGTGAATGCAGAGTTGAGAGTTAGGTTACTATCTGGTTGAATATTGACTTTGTTGTCCGAGGACTTTCTTCCTTTCAAGACTATCGATCTGGACATACAGCGATCCGTGGACATGGAAGAATAAAATCTATTGCATGCTACATGGTCTTCCGTTATAACTCTGTAGACAGGATGGCAGCTGTCAGGTTCTTAACCACTTTCTCGACACTAAACTGCATATTGGCATAATCCCTGTTAAAAAAAAATCCTCTGCATGAAGCTTGTCCTGTTTATTGGCCATACTATCGTTTATAAGGTACATACTTCAAGTATTATTATCATATCTCATGATATATCCTATTTTATCACAGCGGCATAACATGGTGAAGATGACTGAGGGAGGATGATTGCGTACCTGCTGAAACCAGCTTTTTAAACCAAGCTACATGTAGTTCAGAATGAGTCTTTGAGTCTTACTGACTGCAGACAGTCCAAAAGTGTTCCCATAGCATGTGAAATATGCACACATGCTGAGGTCAATATATGCTACTGAGCAAATGCAACAAAGCTGTCTTAAAAGGTACAGTCAGTTTTTTACTGCAAATCACTACAACACACTTTGACGTTACAGTAATTAAATGCCATCATATCTGTTTGATCCATATTCCAATATTCCGCTGCTGTCGCCTGTATTTCAGCCTTCAGGTTGCAACAATGTTTTATTCAGATATTGTAGCCAATAAAAGGTAGGATTCCAACTTCCATTAAATAAATAAGTAAAATTCAAGCTGAATAAATTATTGCAATGGTGAATAAAATGTGGCTTTAAAAAAACGAAAGAAAGAAAAAAAGAAAAATGTGACAGATTGACAAACATTCATATTTCCATTTAAAGTGGAAAATTTGCTCTTCATTTACCCGTTGCCATAGTGAATGTTGGTCTCGGAGCTCCACTGATAACTGCTTTTTTTTGTTTAATATCACCTAAGCTGACTGACCCAGCTGCAACCACCCCCCCCTGAACTTCATCAACTCAAACTAACTAAACCTGCTTTCTGGAACAGGTCCCAGCTGGACTCTGTTATACTTCACTAACTGATGGCTTTGCATTGAAGCACGGTTATCGCTCTCTCTTTTGTCCTGAAGTGACTGCGTTTAATCATCGAAATGAAACGAATTTAATGAACCTAGTCGGAACCAAAAAATTTCCTGACATGGTCCTGTTACAGGAAGAAAAAAAAAAGCAGATGTTTTTTCAGAGAGGGATCTGTTTTTCTTTCTTGCATGCATAAGGAAACTTTAGTGGCAGGTCTGAAGTAGAAATGACACAGGATCACTTGAGATCCAGGCACGTAAATTGACAAGTATCATCAAGGGAAAAAAGCAGGTAATAAACAGTATGAAGTGCCAGTTAGAAGCCCTCGTTAACAAACCTAGAATTAGCAATTGATCACTTGCAAGATTAAACAAACAAACAAAAAAAACCTACTGATCTTCATTAAATATATTAATTTACCCTCTTTAACATTAGCAGTCATTTGCTTAAGTTATAAGTTGAGTTTTATTCATGTTTCCTTTCTTAAGACTAAACAAAGGGTGCTGATAACAGTTGTGGAGACAAGGCCATAGCTTATCTGTACCCTGGGTGCTGGATGAGAGCGGTTCTGCCATCCCCAACCTCTGGACCTACCCTGCTCAGAGGGGGCCTGTGCATCTTGCCCATCAACCCTAGATTCTGATCGCGGAAATAGGGCGTCTGGAAGTCCCCACCCAAGTAATCTGCTGTTTGCATCAGATTAGTCTGGGCGGAGGAGGAGGAGGAGGAGGAGGAGCTTGATCCTAGCCGGTAATGGGGAGCCCCAGGGGGCCCACAGTCTAGCGTGGTGCACCCTCCTGGGCCTGCACCGTGGAATGGCATGGCTATGTCCTGAGACCCGGAGCTGTCACTGTTGGGTGTGGGTAGGATGCTGCTGTTCCAAATGTGCGACTGGAAGTAGTGACCGTTAGTGTAGTGGGCCATGGGGCCGGGCATGCCGTTGTTGTTAACAGGTGGGGAGGGGGTGGGCCTCTCTACGGGAGGTTTTAGTGAGTAAGGCTGACCCACGCACACCTCTGCAGGGTAGCCCATGCCCTTAAAATGGAAGGTGGCGTCCCTGGAAGGCTGCTTGCAGAGGTGGCTCCCCCCATTCTGAATGTGGGGTACATGAGCCAACTGATGCTGATTCCAAGAGCGCATCTTCTGCTGCTGCTGCGTGGTGTGTTGTAGTTGCTGCTGCTGCTGATTCTGATGTGGGTGCAGTTGGTGCTGCTGCAGCTGGTGCTGCTGCTTGAGATCAGTGTGGTTGGAAGGCAAGTGGTTCATAGCAGCCACACTGGGTGGAGGGTGAGCTCCCACTGGGGCTGTGGCTTTCTCTTGAGAGCCAATGATGCAGTTGGGTGGGGGGAAGCCAGGGGTGGCAGGGTTACTGTGCATGGAAACCCTAGAACAAGCGCTGATAAGCAGGTTGCGACTGATGGGGCTGGGGTTGGCGATCTGGCCCTCACACATGGAGGTGGTTCCTGCACCCTGGGCCCGAGCTTGGCAGAATTGGTTGATCTGATGTACAATGGTGTTCAGGTCAGCCTGGCGGCCCTGGTGCAGACCAGCAGCCATAGAGAGTGGAATGGTTGAGGTAGAGACAGTAACATTAGGTGGTGCATCGCCATCGGGAAGCTTTCTGCTTCCCTGCAGGCCAGGTGGAGGCTGCTGCTGCTGCTGAAGGTGCTGCTGCTGGAGCATGACAGTAGGTGGCCCCTGTGGTTGCCCGAGAGCTGGGTGCTGAGACTGAGTCTGGAGTCTGGCTGGGCCCTGAGGGTGCTGGGCCATTGGGGGAGGCTGTCTGAGACTCTGGGTGTGCACCTGCTGCTGGGGAAGGGGTATATGCACAGTCTGAGGGGGGTCCTGCAGTGGAAGGGGTAACCTCTGCTGGGGCCGGGGAAGGTTCTGCACCTGGTGGTTTAAAGTGCTGGTTGAAGCCACCTGATAGGGTCCCGTAAGGGGGTTCATGATGACGTCAGGGTGCAAGCGAGCCCGGCTACCGTCAAAATCTTTTAGGATGCCTTTGACAGTGGGCACCTTGACGATGGCGAGGAGGCCTGTCTTGGCACTGGCCTGAGAGGAAGGATAAGGGCTGTAGCGCTGGCCTGACGTATCCAGCCCGTTGACAGTACGGCGCACGTGGTTCCTCTGGGGGACCTTGACACTGTTGGGGAAGATCTTAATGGTGAGGGGGTTGTTGGCAACCTTCTTAGCATATGCATCCAATTCTGCAGGGGTTGGAAACGGAGCGGATCTCATCCTTTGTGTGGTGTCCCCTGAGGTGAAGAACAGGATAGATTGGAGGCAAGAAGCAGAAAGCAAAAGGAGACAGAGGGTAGGAAAAAAAATTAGAGAGAGACATTAGGCAGCAGGCCAAAATCTAGAATGAAAAAAACTCCTACAACTTCACAAGAGGAAGCTTCAGATATGTGTAATGATAACTTTTGTCTTCATGCTGTGCTATCCTATGTCAAAGTCCTTCATTCATCTTACTTCTTTATCCTTTATACCACTTACCATCTACCAGTCTCTCCTCATGGCCTATATTTTCTAGAGCATGAAAACAGATCTCAGAATAGGTGCAGGAGTCTAGTTTCAACTCAGACCACTTAAATCACCATATGCTGAAAGGTTATTATAGATTTTTTTTTAAACCACTGATGCCAAAAACATGTTTCCTACCCCAGCTTTAATTCAGGTAGAAATGTATATGGCACAAAAGAGCACATCAGTTGAAATCAGAGTAGCTGAGTGAACTTGATTTGGAACGCACTCTCATATTTCATACTTGCCTGTTTTTCTCCTAAACCCCCCATCTCAAAGAAAAAAAATTCCGATCTGAGTCTCTGCAGAATTATTGGTGCCGACACATTCCCAGTCTAAAATCCAATTTGGTGGTATCATTGGGGACTTTGAGGTCAGGAGCTTTTAGTGGCCTTAATTGACGCATTATCTGGGCAAAGAATAAGAATGCATCTGAGGGGTGGGCTGTGCCGCTTGCTACTAAAAAAAATATCACAAGATAAACAGAAAAAAAAGGCTGTGATGGTCCCCTGTGGCTGGCAAGGGGAGAAGGAAAAAAAGAGAGCAGAGAGCACAGCTCCATGACAGCAGACAAGTAATCAGACACAGAAGCAGCGTCTCTGATCTGTGGGAACACCTCCCAGGCCTCAGCTCGCAGACATTTGTTACACCTGCTAAGCACTGTGGCTAAATTTAACAATGCCAAAGTGACAATGTGAGCATGATTGTGTGTTTGTGTATGCGTGAAGCTCCTTTTAAAAAATTTGTGACAGGATCGTGCAGGTGCTGGCTTGCGCAACAACCGCTTGTGTCCATTTTCAGCCTCGGTGGATGTTACTGCTCGCATCTTTCTAACACACTGATCTCACTTCCACAAAAAAAAAAGAAAAAAAAAAAAAAAGGCTTCTGTCCCTGCTGTCCTCCACCATGCTACCCCAATCACCTCAGCCCTGCCAGCCTGACCTACTTCCACCACACCTCTCTGACTGATGGACATGAGTGGAGCCGATGTGTGAAGAGAATCGCTGCTCTGACCGGTCTCTGAGCTCCATTTAATTCCCTCTTTCATCCTGTTTGAGGAGGGGGGGATTTTCAGCTCAAGTAAAACACGTCTTTATAGCACACTGGCTACTCCTCTGTTGTTGAGTGAGCAGTAATTTTAAAAGTCTGAAATTCTGGCAGAGGTCTGTGGTTTCAGGCAGCCATGGTCTCACAGCGGGAGGACTGGACATGTGGGATGAGGCGCGGAGCTGAATGGAGGGCACTGACACGGCGGCACTAAGAGTTGTGCCAACTGGCTAATTAATTCGAGCTTTATTTGTGAACAGGAAACAATGGGCAGCGATGTGCGGGGCCGGCATAGGGCGGCACACAGGGGGCGGCTGTAACTAAGCATTCAGCCTGCTGATGGCAGCCTCATTAATGCAGGGGTCTGGGCCAAAGAGCTGGAGCTTGACACCCACCATCACTGAGGCCTAATGTCTGTCACTGAATAAATGCCAGGGTAAGCAAACACAGATAAATGAACACTTACACAGGAGCACACAGACATGATGAGCAGAGGTTTCACCTGTCAAATACAGGAAATGATTAATGAGCCTGCAAAAAAACAAAACAAAAAAACAACCCAAAAAAACCAAAGGAAGTTTGATCATAACACAAATAAAACCTCACTCAGTTTTTCCAGTAATTAGTAGGTTACCTTTACTACAGAGTGCAAAGAGTATAAAGGAGTATGCATTAATAAATGCAAGTTGTTTGCTCTCGGTGTTCAGTTTGGAAGATCTTGGCACAGCCTCCGTGGTCTGCAGCTGCTGTCAAAACCTCATGTCAGTGTAGCTGTAGAAAGGGTTGTAAGTGGGTGGGAAGTGAGTACATCATCTGTTGCGATGAATAAAACATCTTTTATCATTTTACGGGGATGGAATCTTCTATTTGATACCAAGATTGTGCACAGCATGACAGAATGTTATGCTTTTCCTTACATTCTGTCATATATGTTGGCCAAAGTTTTAAAAACACGAATGTCAGCACACATGAAGGTAATCCCGGTGAGCCAAAAATCAGGCTTCAAACTGCTCTGCATGCTCCAGTTCAGTGTTTTTTCTACTCTTGGCTCTGTGTGATGTCAGTCGATGATATCCCAATCACACTCTGAAGCATGAAGCAGCCACACCCACCTGTTGTTGGCGACATCTTTGAAAGAGACACAGCCATTCATAAGAAAGCTGGTTTTGCTGTTGTTTCAGATAGAAGATGAATGGCACTGAGGTCATGCAAAATTACTGAAGCTAATAGGAGTCCATGAATAAAAATAAGGAGATGGAAATAAAAATAATAACCCCGCTTTTTAATAACTACAGCACATTTAAATGCAAAATCACTTCATGTTTTCTGTGGAGGCTTCTAGACTAGTTCACTTGAGAGATCCAAATAGAACGAAGGTAAAATACATGCAATTTTAATAAAAACCTAAAATTGACAAAAAAAGTGTATTTTTTCATATTTTTATGCAGGGGAAGAGAACTGTTTCTTTTAGATTGAAATCTACAGCAAGAAAAAAATTAAAACAAACAAAAAAATACTAACCCACAGACATGTAACTGCCTACAGTGTTATTTCTTTGCCACTGGCATTTGTGTAATGAGTTTTATACTTAAGTTGTAAGATTCAGGCAAGTAGCAAAGAAAGCACTGCCAATGGAAAGTGACCAATCCATTAAATTGGAAAAGGGATTATACATTGTTAACACAGCTTAGGCTGACATTTTGGGGAGGGGGGAGGAAAAAAAAGGCAAATCAGGATAAAGGGTTTAACAGCACCGCTGTAAAATGTGTAATGAAATCGGTAAATTACTGTTTAGAGCAGCTTCCCCACTAACAGTGGATAAAATCGACCTCTCGCTGTTTACATCTGCTTAAGGCTCCTGGCAGCTGTTGATTATGGGTTCTAGTAAGCAAGTGTAGCTTATTAGCATTTCAACCTTAACCTGGAACCTGGATTAGTTGAAGGGCTTAAAGCATCAAGGGAGGGTTAATGAGGAATATGAGTGAAGTTTGTAGGCGGCTGCTGGTGGCTGCAAGCACATCATCTCTCAGATCTCCAGCTAAGCACGTTTCCAGGGAGGGAGCAGGGGAAAGAGGGCAGTCGGGCCGCGCGCTAATTATCCCACTGCAAGCGAGCTAGTTGGAACACAAGTGCACAGTCAGCAGGCACTAATTAGGGTTTCTTTTATTCAAACTACTGTTTTTATTGAACAAGGTTTAAGCAGCAGGGAGCAGGGGCTCATGCTGCTGTAAATTGCATTTTTCACACAAGAGCAGGAAATTAGGTCTGAAGCTTCGGCATCAAATTAGACATATGAGTTTGGTTTCTCGTGTGAAGAGACCTCCCTACATTTTTGCCGAGTTATGAAGAGAGCATAACCTTCAAAGAAAATGAAAACTATTATGAGGAGAGGAGGAAGAGAAGGTTGCTTTTGATCTCAGTGGGGACTAAGATGTGAGAATCAGCCAAGTGGCCCAGCTGTACTCACAGTTTGTTCTGCCTGTGAGATGTGAGGACCAAGGGCCACTTCCTGGTACTTGAGTCATCCTGCCTGGAGGATGAGCAGTTTTCTTCGTGACCTGCTGTCTCTTAGCGTACCTGATCTGCTCCTCCGACAGCCTTTACATTTCACAGCCGTCATCTGTTAGCAGACACTCCCTGATGATAAATAGAGCAGCTGCCCTGGCCTTGCCTCTGACAGCAGCCTGCAAGCTCGTAACTTTAAATGACTCTCCAGTGCGCAGATTCCCCCGCAGGAGGAGAGACAGGGCACAGCCAGCCTGGCGTTTTGGAGCTCTTGGTGATTATCGAGTGGTGGGAAAGTGTCAAAGACAAGATTGTGTTACACAAGACTCGGCATTAGGGAGCACCGAGTAGCTGAAAGGCTCGAGCTCAAGAATAGCAAAACAAATAGGAGCTAATTATGTAAACCTCCCATCTGAGCTTTTTTTCCCCCTTTTTCTTTTTTTGCAAGGACTTTTCAGTGCACTGAATAAAGATTTCAAGTAACAACCAGTCTATGAATTTCACCTAAAAGCAGTCGAGCACATCTCTCACGGAGTCAAGCTGTCAAATTATCTTCTGTGCTGGGTAAGCGATAGAAGCTCTGGAGAGACAGTGAACTCTGTGGACAGCCAGCAGGGAGACGGTGGAGCATTACTCGAGGGTTCAGGCCTGACAACTGCTAAGACTGCTAACATGCAGGAGGTGAGCTACAGGTGATAGATTATGGGTGGTAAAAGAGGCAAACCAGAGAGAGCCTATTTCTTTTCAAATTCACTTTTTTCATGGCACTTTGATAAAAATGATACAGTTCACATGTCATTCAGGTCGGTGGCTTTTGATGCAATACCGCGCCTGTTTGACTAACAGATGAAAAGCATTATGAGAAAATGATAAGAAAAAAAAAAAAAGGAACTGGAATTACACTTCTAGGAATGGCCGTGGCTGTGGGAAGCACACTCCATCACCTAAATGGATTACAGTCCTGAGCAGAAAAAACAAATTGAGCTCCAGTTGTCTTAGTGTGTCACATAAAGGAAGAGCAGGGAAAGAGTCTGGCTGATGGCTGTACCATGTCACAAGCCTGCCTGAGTGAGGCAACAGACGCTGGCACTTAGCAGACTCCCTCGCGCTTGCCGATCTCCTGGGGGTTGGCTGATTACTGTGATTCTGAAATTACAGTCTTGATGAGCTGGAGCATTTTACAAAAAAAAAGAAGAAGAAAAAAAAAGGGCAGTAGAAATGGGTCACGCCTGGAGCTGAGGTCAGGGAGGAGACAGGAGGAAAAGGAGACCAAGACGTTTTGTGTAAATAAAGCTGACCAAAAGTATTGAGCATAATGTCTCAGACGTGACTGATTTGCTGGGTATAAAAAACTAACTGAAGATGAGACAAAAGGCAAGTATGACTGTGACCTGGCATCAAATGGACAAACTGTGCAATTCATAACAAAATGTGAATATATTTACACTCTTAAAAACAAAGAACAACGGTAATCTACTGTTTCTTTGTGTATTTTTCTCCTTCATCATCACTTGTCAGAGCCTCTGAAGTCTGCGCTCTCGCTGGCATTTGCTGACTTCGACTCTCCATTTGTGCTGCTGACACCCAAAAGTGTCCAAGTTTTTCAGCAGTTGTAAAATTCAAACACATTGAATTCAGCGGGCCGGCACTGACTACTCTGCTGTTAAACCGGGCCAGCAGATTGCTTCTTAAATTCACCCACATTACAAGATCACCGGGGCAAAACCACTCAGCCGCAATCTGTCTGCAAGTCTGACAGTAACTGACTCTTCCTGATGGTGAAAAGTAGCTGAGATGCTCATGTTCAAACACATGCAATGTTGCAGTGAGCACACAGGACCACACTCTTGTGACAGACAGATCCTCAGGGGCGATGAGAGAGGGAGGGAGCCGGTTTGCCTTTCATCAGCAAATTAATGGTGCGGTTCATCTTAATTTCCCTTGAAGACAGATCTATGGTCCTGGAGCACTAAAATATTCTCTCTCACTCTCACTCTTTCTGGTTTTAACACAGAGCTGCAGAAGAGATCCAGGCCAGGGTTGGCATGGGGATCTAATGTGGGGCGGCCAGCAGGATTGTAACAGCTTGGTTTGTTGTGTGGGATGATGGTGGTGGTGGTAGTTAACAGTGTGCATGTGTGTCCCGAGAGCAGTACTTACATTTCTGAAGTCCAGTGTTCATCTGCGTGTGGGGGAGAAGCTGGAGGGGGAGGTCACCTGGCCCTGGCAGACAGGCCAGCATTTCACACAGACACTAATGCAACATGGGACACACACTTCTCCTCACACTGTGGAGAGAAAAAGAGAGGGAAAGGGAGAGGTCAGACATAACTCCAAGGCAGCACATGGTGCCTGTCGATGCAGAGGCTGGGTGCGGGCTAATGGAACTCAGTAGCAAGTCCCCTGAGGCACGGGGCTGGGGGAGACATAGTTACCTTTCAATTAGAAACTGATTCACACCTGGAGCATCGGGTAAGGTGACATTTGATGCCAATAACAACTTCAATTAAACATCAAACAGCTGAAGTAAAACGGGCAGGCTGGGCCTGAGGGACTGGCAGCTTTAAATCGACTCAGTCCCTCCTCCTCCTCCTCGACTTGCATGTTAGTCACCTAGTTGGACCCCGCTACCCACACTTTACTTCTCTGCCACTATCAGACCGTGGCAGAGGAAATTAATGACTCCTGTATACCCAAAAAGAACACACTCAAGAGGCCTGGCTCTGACAAGTTAGTGCGTCTCTGATCGATACTGCAGTCCTCCAGACCTCAAAGAGGCCCTTATTTCGGGGACATTAAACAATGGAGTCAGCTAGGGACGGGGTGGAAAGAAATGAATAAACATGGCTACGGCTCCCATAAATGTCTGCCACTTTGTGCAATAATTTGATGTAACAGTGAGGGAGAAAACGTTAGCCATGCTCCACTTGGCTTACTGCTGTATTCAAAAACACCACAGATGCTTGCTTAATCAGCACTGAAGAACAGTCAGGGAGCAAATTAAGTCTACAGAGTCCGTGCCCTCCCCGTTTGCCGTGTGGCATCAGAGGAGGGTGGCAAGTGAGCGCAGACAAACAAGCGTCTATGAGAGAGGCAATTACCCACATAACAACCTTGCCATGCCTGTCTGCCGCAGGGTGATGGCTTAAAAGTGTCTTCCCCCCTGCGGGGAGAAGAGACAAGTGGAGGAAAGAGTGACAAAGCAAGAGAGAAAGGTGAAAAGGAAGAAAGAAGGGTAGCGGGTTTAGGGTGGTAGTAGAGGGGTGGCGGGGGCTGAACTTGCTTTAAAAAGCAGGAGCTCAAAAAGGTCAGGATGACAGCTCATTTAAATCCTCCCAGCAAGAAGCAGAGACACACCCCCCCCCAAAAAAAAAAAAAAAAAACCAAAACAAAACAAAAAAAACAAGCCTTAATGGAGTTGCCAGTTCTACACAGACACCTGAGGGGATTGCACCTTAGGGTGCTGCATGGGGAGGGGGCAGTTCTGAGATGGATCTGAGGATTTCGGGGGTGTTCTGCCGCACTGACACTGCGTCACCTTTTCTGTTGCTTGGCCTCTGCTCCCACTCCTCTCATCCTCCTCCCCTTTCCTGTGCCTTCTGATTTACAGCCTGGACTGCCATATGGCTGCAATCCCTGCCCTCAATTCAGCGTGTCACCATGCATTAACTTTAATTGGGTTGATATGTTATTCTTTTCCCTCTGGCCTTGGAAGGATTTTAGGTACATGGTGCCTTGATGTCAGCAGGCAAGATTTCCAGCCCTCTCTCATTTTTCAGGATGCCAAGATTTCACAGAAAGATAACAGCAATCTCTTTGACAACAGGCAGGTTTGGTGTGGAAGAAAGCTAAATATCAAATACAGCAGTGTCTTTGTTAGGAGGGTTTCAAAAGCAGAACGGTGGCAGCAGAGTGAAATGATGTTGGGGAAAACAAAACAAAACCGAGCACATAACTGTCCCTTAATTTGTTGTAAGAACACACACAACACACTACATGCAAAAAAAACAACAACCACCCAACAGGCCACCCCCTTCCTGCCTCCCCCACAGCGCCCCTGAATGTCAGAAAAGTGTGCAGTGGGGAGTGCAGAAGCAAAGGTCAGCCTATGGTAATGCCCAAGCTGACGCTCTGCTTTGTAGCGCAGAGCAGGCGGACATGAAACCCGACAGACAGAAGCCTGACGTTTACTGACTTGCCTTTCAGCACCACTGCCACAGTGACTTCAAATATACATCACACGCCAAACAGTGGCACTTTCTACAAAGGCGCACACCCCCATGGAGGCTTTCTTTTTTTTCCCCCTCCCAACACTCAGACTATTTGTATCAGAAGCGGCACGACTACACCTGACAGAGTGTCAGATCCAGACAGGGACCAAGCTCGCGATAGTTGGAGGTGCCTCTCTGCAGGATGTAATTGGACACATGACTGGGTCGCCTGCTGGCTGTCCAAATTGCCCTGTAACTACCAGGGGGTTTAGCCTACTCTAAACAGGGAGCTTGACCCTCAAGCTGCCCATCCATTCAGGTAAATATCTACCCTAATCACCTAATAGTCCTTGTCATACAGAGACAAGCCCCTCCTGTTATAAGTGGAAACACAGTTGCGTATAAGGAGGCCCAGCCAAGCCAGCTGGGAAGGCCTGTGGAGCAGGGATTGGCTTGGTGGAGTTTAGCCAGGCGTCTCACACTATCAGCCCCGTGCAGACAGACACTACGGGGTTCTCAAAGTATTAGGGGGGGCCCCCGTGACTCGGCAAGTCTCCACCAGCTACTTATAGAACTGTAATAAAGCGTGTGAATAACTGTGCGGCTTTCATTATAGACAAATAAAGGCAAGAAGACAAATCAGGACTTGAGCAAGTGATGCGCATGGCTTGTGTCATGTGTCAAATTGCTCCCATAAAAGCTGACCTATATTTTCTTTTCATTCCTCACTGGGGAAGGAGAAATAGAAAGCCATCTGAAAGTTTAAAAAAAAAAAATTACAGAGAAGTGAAGGAGGAAGAGGATAGATGGAAGCCATTTAGGAAATGAGACCAGCTGACTGCATTTATGTGCTGATTGTTTTGATCAATATCCTCTCCATCAACTATAATCTGCATTTGTTAGAAATTTGGAAATAGCATCAGGCTAATTGCATAGCATATTAAAATATCCAGCAGCAGTGATGCACGGGGGG